TGAAATCATATAAAATATTTTTATAACTTGTCTATCCAACCCTGTGGCCCTTTAGTTTCTTTAGTGCAAGATACTCTTTCTGCATTTTTAGCTTGAGATAAATACGGATAGTTCTTTATGAAGCTGTGCTGGATGTTAGGGGAAACCTCAGCAAAGCTGGAAGGTGTAAGAGCAGCCCTTTATTCAGAAACATATCAATGGAGCCAAACAGCTGAAAGAATAATCACTCAAATTATAAGTACACACAATGCCATAGAAGTCAAAGGGTTCACATGGGATTACTATTGTGTAAAATGACAGAGATTAGAGGTAAAGGAGAAAAGAAGCCACAAAAGCCAGAGTTGCACAGTCCTATAATGGGAATTAGAACTAGGTGACAATAGCCAGAGTATCTGTTGTATGTTTGCATATTACATATGCTTCAGACTAAAAGTGTCAAAAAAAACTTGTGGATTTTTTGCTTTTAAACGTCCCTTCTCAGGTAAGGAACTAAGATAATTCTAATGGTAGAGAATTTAAGTTCAGGGTTTTTCAGTACTCCTGCCTGCAGGCTTGTACAGTATCTCACACTCCTAGGAGGCTTTACTTTCCTTCTGTCAAAGTTTCCTCGTGCTAAGTAAAAGAGGTGTTCTTTTATTCTCATATCAAAGTCCCATTTTTGTGTCAGTATGTGAAGTTTCATTAAACTCTTAATTCATATTTGGCCATATTGAGCTGGTTCATTTATATTTAGAGGGAAAAAAGGTTGAGAAGAATTTGGATAACAAGCAGAAAGGAATGTTTCATTTTAAATGATTTTTCATTTTTAAATAAATGCTATCTGATGTAATGAAAAGGTTGAAGCAAAACATCTCTCTGTTATCAAAACACAACATTTCACTGGCTCAAACCATTTTTGTTATGGCTGCTTTCAAATGGATTGAAATGAAAGCATATTTCAGAATGGAAGAATTTGCAAAATTAGATTTCCAAATTCCTACTCTACTTAGAATGATAAATTATTCATCTTCAGTAAATAGGGACTCAAATATGATCCACATAACCATAATTGCAAGATATGTAGCATGCATAACATTTAGATCTTCCATCTCTACCTTTTTGTTTTGTACAATAACAACCAACCCACAGAATAATTGTTGTAGACCTTTTAATTGCTGAATCTACCTTAGTAGACAGAACCTCAGGTTCTTCTGCCCAAACAGAATCTTCTGTTTAATCTTCTAACGGTATAGTTTGACCTTTATATTTCAACCTAACAGTCTTTGCTCTGCAATGCCCTGTAAGGTGGATGCAAGAGATTTCAAAACATACATGGATGTGGATAGTTCAGTAGCAGCAGCAGCCTTCAATAAACATCATGATGCCATTGTGGGCCTTGAAGCCAAACAAATACATGTCCTGAACTGCTTACAGAGAAATTTATACTGACCCCTAAGTTTGGAGATGGCCAAAGACTCAGATGATCTCACTGCTGGTAAAGTGCTGCTCCTGTAAAAGCAAAATATCTCTCCACTTCAAACACACACACACATGCACGCTCATATGTATAATAACATCTCAAATCACATAGAAAAAGATCTGATCTTTCCAACAAAGAAAGCCAGTGCTGTGCCTGGAGTTTCTCTTTTCTCCCAGGTCCTTTCCAATAATATTTGGCTCAAGTTCAGCATGTTACAGGGCTCCCAAGCCTCTTTCCCAGATATATCTGTCTTGTCTCTCTGGGTAAAAGAAACTTATTTCTGGCTCTCTGTCAAGCTCCCCACAACCTTGTATTACCAAACAACAATGTTGAAGGCAGGAATGCATACTTTTGCTTTGATTTCCACTGAGAATCATAATTCTTCTCTGCTTCTTTCTCCCCTCCTCCTCTCCCCTTAAGGTGACAAATGGCTCTCTAGAAGTCACCCATTTCTTCATTTTGACCTTCTGTTCACCTCCTCCATTTTTTTCCTCTGCCCTGGCCGATTCCAATTTGGGTAATTATTCTGTCTACAGTACGTAAAATTCTCTCTTTTGTTGTAGTCAACTATAATATCCTTCTCCTTCTGTTCTTAAATGTAATGCTATGCCTTGATAAATTATTACTGTGGTTTACCCCAAAAGGGAAAGAGTGAGTGACTCAAGACTGATATCTTTTTATAAAGTTGTTCCAGTGTTTAGGAATACTTCGGGATGAGTGGTGTTATATTATTAGTCCTTAATCCCTGGATGATTTGCATTACAACTATTATTTTCTCTATTGTACAACTTTTTAAAGGGTACCTATTTATTAAAGTGAATTGACACTAAAAATATGTAAACCTTTGCCTGTGGAAAAATGAAAATAGCCATAGCTTTGGAAATGTTTTAACAAACTGAAATTCTAGCTGTTCTAAATACAGCAGTGAAGTGACCAGAAATCCAAACTAGGATATTTTTCTTTTCTTTCCTTAAGCTTGCACTTAGATCCATATATTCTTATTCTTATTACCAAAAAAACCCCAAAACATCTACAGATACAAAAGATGTAACAACCCTTTTTTTAATCTTTCATTGTTAGAGAGGACCAATACCTTTCTGAAAATGTGAGTCCATCTTAGAAGGTATTTCTCTTATTATGCACATCAAGTCATGCCTTGGGTTTAAACACTGTAGATGAAAGCAGCTGTTTGTTATGAAGTATCCATTGTTATTTTTGAAACAGATGCTTTGATTTGTTGGAAAGAACTAATATGTGCTGATTTTAGCTTCAATCCAGTATGACACACAAGCATGTGCTTAAATCTATCGTTACTCGGAAAAGCACTTATACATATGTTAAAAATTAAGAATGTGCTTAAGTGCTCTGCTTAATGGGGATGATCCTGAACACATATTTAAGTGCACTCTTGAATCAAGGCCAGAATGACCAACCTTAGTTATTGTGAAGTTTGCTATCTTTTTACTGCTTTAAGTTCAAACAACATAGCAATGCTTTATTTCATGTCCTTTGCAAAGGAGGCAATTGCATACTTGACAAGAAAGAAAAGTTCATTACATCTTGCAAGCCAAGTTGTAATGGGGAGTAGTGGGGAGGATGGGAAAACCTGCATAAAATTACCAGGCTCCCCTTTCTTATACTGGTAAGCATGTGAGATGTGATTCCATCTGTGGCTGCTCTTCGATGGCTGTGAATCTGTTTCAGATCTCAGATGGTTATTTATACAACAGGAGCTCCTGATTTTTGCCCTGCTTCACAATCTGAGAGTGGTCAAAATGACATTTTCCCCACAGACTGAATCGAATGTGCCCTGGATTCCTGTTTGCAGAAGGTATCAAGGAAAAGCAAGTGTAACTCTCACTTTTTATATGAAGATATTATACACCATCTGTCAAACCCTCCACCCAATGTTTTGATAAGTCCTTTACTTGAAGAAAACTGCCAGATTCCATACCAATATTTTTTTCTGTGATGTTTCGGATATATAATTCCCTGTGAAAGCCATCTACTCCCCAATATTTTGGGACTACCTGGATAGATGGTTTTCTTCTGCTTATTAGACTGTGTAGCATTAGGGCTTTTTTCAGTCATTTACATATCCATGGTGGCAGATTCCATGTAAATTTCCCAATAGAACGCATAAGAAAAACTGGATGATTTTTGCAATTTTAATAACTCTTCAAAATGAGAGCAGATTGAAAAATTATACTCAAATCTTTGCTGTCCTTTACATACAGATCTGAACACTTGGATTCTGAAACAAACAGCTAGACCAAAATCTTGGTGATTTACTTTCTTAAGTTTAGTTGGAAGCTCCCACTTTTCAAAGTTGTCTGAAAGATAGCAAAGCGAATCTGATATGTGACATATCGAGCCTCAGCTCTATCTTCAGATCATATCTGTTGTCAGCAGCAGAAAGACAATGAATCTGTGTGGGGAGCAGGATGGATTCCCCTCTGATTCAAGTGTCATTGAAGATGCCAATCATGTTATGATTATGGAATATTTCTATTAGTTCTTATGAAGGGTGTAAGGGTGTAAACTGAAACAAAGCTTGTCTCCCATGTTTCAGATTGAGTTTGCAGTTCTGGCTGTCAGAAATATCATCTTTTGAAGTCCTTAATGCCATTTATACATTTTCATGCATAAAAGTATAATTGCCATTTATCTAATGAAAAACGTATCCTAATAATTTTCTGCATTTATTGTATGTTCTGCTCTGCTATTTCTTCTAATATCCTCATCTTTACTCATATTGTAGTAACAATATACATCGGGCTTATAATTAAAACAGTATGAAAATCATGAAAATAAGAAAAATGTAAAAATAAAGATGAATTACATTTAATAGTTTTGGGATGGAAATGCCCATCCAGAGCTCAAATTTATTACAAAGCCACATTCAAAGTATTTCAAAGCTATGGATCCACTACAAACAAACCTGCTTCTGCAATTGCCAGAAAAAAACCCTAGCAGTGGTTCTGTTTAAAAACATCAAAGAACCACTGTTGTCTTCTTCCCTACCTCTTTAAAGGAAGGGATTAGTTGAAAAGCAGTTCAAAGTGTAAGCAAGAGATGTTTCATGGAACTTCAGAATTTGGAGCAGGTGTTTTTGCCATATGGGCTAGTAGTACATCCAGTAGCAGTGCAAGTCATCCTGGCTTAAAGAAGAAGAAAACCTGACTCAATATTCCCAGCAGATCTCCCAGACAATGAATCACAGGTTAAGGAATCGGAAGATAGGGACAGGCAGAAAAAGGAATATTTTATGAGGGTTACTGAGAGAATGAAAGAAAGGAAATCATGCTTAAAACATATTACCAAAGCAAGTAAGAAAAGTCAGAAATGTCTTATTTTTAAAAACCCCTCTGATTCTTAGGTAAAGTCACAGAGATGATATGTTTTCATTACAGACCTATAGAAGACCAACACTAGAATCAGTGCATTCAGATTGCCCTTCTCTAGCCATAATGCACTGTTTCTTCTTCACTGTTACTGCACACACCTAAGGTAATAGTTTCCATAATTCTCCTTCCTGTAGTGCACTGGACTACCTTCTGATGATTTCCTGGAGAACAACTACAGCATTCACCTGTTCCAAGACAGTCTGGGAACTTAAAGGTGGGTACTAGAATATGTCCGGCCTTTAAATTCTTACATAGTTAGGTGTTTTTTTCATATGGAAACAAAATCCCAGTATTAGTTGGATAGTTCCAGACAAGTCAAGCATAAAGTACAAATCATTTCAAGTGCAAGAGGCTGTGGACAGAAGAGGGTTTGGGCCCCAGCTAGCATGCAATGTTATATGTGAATATTGCTCAGATTTCATACAGAAGAAGATTATATTCAGTAGTATAAACCATGAATAACAGGCCTGGAATCTGACCTTTTAAAAATATAAGCAAAGAAGTTGTTCCACTTGCTCTGTTCTGTGAAGCTTCACAGATAAAAAGCACAATCACTCCCAACTTCTTGTCCTTATTAATATCAGTTATTGCTGTGGTACTTGGCTAAAAAGACAAGTCAAGCCTTCAGTCTGCCCTTACCAGAAAGACATCAAAATCAAAGTTTCAGAACACATAAACCAGTGCTCAGTGGAAATGTTTTGTAGTCAAAGCAAAATAGGACAGGCCAGATAGTTTTGCTATGCCTACTCAAACAAAGAGAAATTTTACTTGCAAAAGAGTCAGTATGGAGACATGTCTGCTTCTTAGCATCTTCTCACCACAGAGGTTAAAGGAAGGAGGGGAAGAAAATATAACTTTGTGTCTAACTGCATCACTCATCACATGATATGACAAAGTGTGCACTACAAATCAATATATTTTATCCAGTACTGTTATGTACTGGAACTATCTCCAGAATCGAGCATCTTAATATTGCCCATAAATTCAGTGCAGAGGAGATCAAAATCCAACATTACTGTCTAGAGGGTAGTCATGTAATTTCATCTCTGGAATATGGCATCTGCAGCCACCAAGTGCTGTAGACTGAATTTTGCAGAAGGACTGCTGACGAGTTAATATCCAGTGGGAGCCAACTGAGCAGTGTCCCACAGTGTCATGAGTCGTTTGCTATTGCTGAACAGTCCATGCCTCTGCACAGTGTAGAGCAGCACCATACAGAGAAGTGTCCTACCTTCTGGGAAGAGATTAACTTGGCCAAGCCTATCATATTTGATTAAATTCTCCACTAATCTCCTAAATCACTTTCAGTCTTGAAATCATATCTGAGAGCTCAGAAAGGAGGCAGTTGCATTTTTTTCACCCAATAGATAGATTATGGTCTTGCAGTGAGATACAATTTACACAGTTTTAATGTCAACATTTTAGATAACTGCATGTGAGCAAGTCACCATAGATTGCCTGCATCGCGCATGAAAATAAGTCAGCAATTTTGGAACACAATTCCTCTGGCCTACATTAAATGACTGTGAGCTGACTCATATCCCAGAAATGCCTGTTTGTCTCATTTATGGAAGGGGAGTTTAGGGTGGATTCCTGAGAAAGAAAAAAAACCCTTATGTTGTAGACATCTCCAGCCAGTCAGATGAATCCTGTGCAGGGAGACTAACAAGTCACAGAGCAGACAAGACTTAAGCCAAATGTACTGAATATTTTTCACTCTGATTCACTGAGAAATTGCTCTGCAATCTACTCAGCACAAAGTAAATGAGTACAGTACAGCTGCCTTTCAAGAGTGCACTCCAAAATCTGGGACTGGCTGCAGGAATGATGAGGCCCACAAGATTATACTCAGTTTTAGACAAAATAAAACTTTTAGTTTGTCAGTCTACTCATTTAGGTCTGCATTTTTTCCTTACCTTCCTATCTTTCAGAGGACATACTCAGCAAAAAACTATGCAAATTTTGTGAGGAAACTAGAAACCATATTTTCTCCTTGTTACTCAACAAGATTGGAATTTGTTATTGATCTCACTCAAACCAGTGCAAATCAGGAGCAATTGCATCAAAATTGATGGTGATAACCTAGTAGGAAGCAAGAATCTGGACCTACTATTTTAAAAATGGCAGCGAATGTTACCTTACATAAAGATGGAACAATGCAGTTTGCTTCTAATGAAATTGTGTGGTCTTCTTTATGTAACAGAGAAACAGCATTGTAGCTGAACTGTTAAATAAAAGTTTTCACTTAGCTTACAGTACATTTTACTGTCATCAAAAAAGCATTTGGGAATAATATTTCCCAACAAGTCTCTGTTGAAATTTTGGGATAATAAACTTTTATATCTTAATATTTATGATTCTAATAAACTACTAGAATATTAAAATGAAAGATACAAACTCTGAGGTCAAAAACTACAATTTGTTGTAAGGCAAAACAATTTTGAATAATAAACCACTATTGAAATCTAATATCACTTCCTATAATTTAATAAGTAATCCCCTTGGTGATATATCCCGGATATTAAACTTGTTTAGCTCACTTGGACCAGCTGTTTTAAATTGGTACATTGCATTCTGCCAAATGATAATACAAAACTAAGCATGAAATGACACGATAACCATTTATGTTCTGATTTTTACCTTCACTGCTGATCACAAATTGGCTAATCAGAGGCAATTAATTCATTCATTATGGTTAATAGTAGTGAATGACAAGTTTATAAAGATAATACCTTGTTTATTAGCTCAGCTATAGCACTGTAGGATGTCAGTTGACCAGATGCAAATGTTTGATTCGATAATATATCTCACAGCTCCCAATCCACCTAGCACGTGCCAAAGCAGTTAGTGTTTTTTCACCACAAGCATCCAGCTGCAGACTATAAGTGCTTCCATAATGAAGTCAGCATAGCTTGTATTTTAAAACTTATTCAAACAATACTGTTTGAGTCTGAGAAAAAAACATTTTCAAAAGGGTCTGCCATGGGCAATCAAAAATAGTCCATAAATATATCTTTCACCATATTTCAAGGACATTTGTGTTAGATTGGTTAGTCATTAGTGAAGATGAAGATTTATCCAATCTTGTTCCATACGAATGTCTGCTGATGCTGCTGATGCACCAAGTTCAAACTTTTCCTATGTGTGATTTACCATGGAAACTGCCCTATAACAGCCACTTTAGAAATTTTGACCTCTGAGCCAAGGTCAAAATCATGACATATTGAGTCTTGATACTCAGTGGTTACAGTTTGTCTTATTGATGCATGAGGAGGTTGCCTTCCTACTCCAAATGTGTGTGAACTCTAAAATCTATCAGAAAGTGAAAAATACTGTTCCACTCTACAGCATAACACTTTGCTCAAAAATAGGGCTTTGAAATCATGGAAATACAAGCAGCAGCCAGCACATCTGACAGAGAGTAGAAGCTCGTGGTGTCTGTTACCCAGAGCAGCTGCTGAGGCTGTTGGGCACTGTCACCTGCTCTGGTCAAGGAACTGAACATTGCGTTGGTCGTGCAATAGGACAGCCTGCAGCCACGGCCATGTGGAACCACATCCCACAGAATCTGATGTGCTTGAGAACTATGCTGGCTTGAGGTCTATAAAAATGACAGTTTTATTTACACAATTGTTCTATTATGTGGTACTGAAGGGAAAAGAGAGAGATTGCTTAACATGCTTCCAATTTGTTTATTTGTTTTCCTTTATTGGTGCTCAGGAAGCAACTAATGTAACTGACAGTGCTAACTTGAATGAAGAAGGAGTGATGGCAAACAGGGACAGTTCTGTTGGAGAGTGGTGAATGACAGGTTCTCAACCCACCCTGAAAATCCTTCTTCAAAAAAGTGCCCTTTGTGGGTGGTTAAAGACGACAAAAAATATTTCCCTTTGTGAAAGAATTGTGGTCTAACCTCAGATCAACAGACCGAATCAACACTAATCCATGCAAGCGCTTAGGTCTGTTGCAAACAAGCATAGACTGCGTTACTTTGGAAGCTCAGGAAAGTCAGCTATGAAATACAAAATGTAGGTCTACCCTCGACATTTCTGACTGACATTAGTGGAAATGGCAGTTTACTCCCAGAATAAAGAGAGGTTGTACTGGGGGAACATAACAATTCCCTAAGAATTACCACTTGATAACACATTTCTAAACCCTTTGTGGTGTCAAATATTCCACAGAGGTCAGGAAAGGGCTATGTAAAACTGTCAATGAAAAGTTTTTGCTGGATCATTTGAGCACAGCTTGTGGACTGAAGTGGTCACAAAGAAACAATGTTTCTTTGCCACTCATTGAGGGATGCCAAATACCTTCTGAGTTTTGTGGTAATTGATGTAACTGAGGCTGTGTGCTGAAACAGCCCTGCCCAATCAGGTCAGTGGAACAGCAATAGCATCTCTTCTGGATATCATATTTGTGGTTTCCCTCTTTCATTAGAGCTGACCAAGTCAGGGTAAGATGCTGAAGCAAAAGTAAAACTCATTACTTTTAAACATGACGTCTTTGTATCTGATTCTCATCTGACTTAGATGGGGAATAACTCTGTGATGACAACAAAGTTATACCTCTTTACTCCAGTCCCTAAAGCAGCTGGGTTTCTCCATTTCTATAATTTAAATATAAAACAAAATTCTTTAGAAATACCAGTTACGATTTCCTCTGTTTTACAAAGCATCAAACACTCTGGGGGGCTCAGAAATAATCTCAAGTACTGTTTCAATGTGTTTGAAATCACTGACTATTCTCAGCTATATCGGAACACACACACATGCATACACAAACAGCTCTTGAAGGAAATCAGAGCATCTGATGGAAAAGGTTTACTTTACTCTGGGTGATCTCAGCTACATTATTTACACACAAAAATCTCTTAGAGGGAACCATAAAAAAGACATCAAAGTGCAGTGACATTTTGTGCCCCTCCGTCCCAAGCTCTACAACACATTTTGCAGTTTATCTTCTCTTCCTAGTCAGTTTCTTCCAGATCTCATAATAAAACAGAATACATGAGAACTGAAACTTTTCAGGGAGAAAATGTTCTTAAATATTTTCTTTTATAAACTGATTCTTCTCCATTTTTTTCTTCTCCAATTTTTTTTTAATTTTTTTTGAATGTTTCATTCTTCCTTTGTCTTGCTCTGTAAGGGTCTCCTTTTAGGAGATCTATACACATATGAACATGGAGATGAAGTCACCATGTCAGAGCCTGTA